TAGCGTCCCCACAGGTTGTACCACACATCAGCAGTTAGACAGGACTTTATGAAATGCACATCAAATGGCTGCGAACGTGCGACACCACGCCGTCGTGCGCTCCACTGACTCTGCCGGCTGATTAGTTCGGGGGTTAACAGTGTCACCGCCGTGAGCGATTAAGGGGAAACCACGGCAGCGTGCACACTCTGCTGAACAGCAGAGGGCAAATATTTTGCTATCAGATTCTTGGACGTGTTGTAGAAGCAGTCAGTCTATTAACGTGGGCCGCAGATGAGTCTGGATCCCTTCCCTCCATCAGCTGGATGTTTCTAGGTCACTGACTCCGACGTAAAACCAATGTTCTGAGCAGTGTCACTTATGATGAGCCTCTCCGTCTCTGCCAAGTCAAAAAAAACCCTCATTTCCTTCCTCGTCTTCAGCCTCATTCTTTCCACTGGTTTATTAGTCATCGGCTCATTTTAGCCTCCCTTTGTCCTCCCTCTGCTTTATGGTATGGCTGCGGAGGAACAGATGGTCAGAAAAAGAATCAATGAAAGTCAAGCTGATCAGTGTCTCTGACCACACACACACACACACACACACCGTCACAGAACAGGACATGGATGTAGACGTTCATTTAGATTCAGCGTGCGTGCTGTTGGAAAAGACCAACCTGAAGTGTCTTTGTGTCTGTTTAAGTGTGTGTTTGGGAAACAGGCCAAAAGTGTGTGTGTGTGTGTGTTAATATTGTGTACTTGTCAGCTGTGGATGTGTCTTTGTTTAGTCTGACTCTGTTCTCCTGGGCAGTGCAGTGGATGGAGGCAGAATCTCAAACACACACACACACACACATACACCTGGGTAATGTGGGAATTTATGATCATGGACATCTTGTATCTCCATCACCTTAATCACTAACATTTCTATATATATAGTCAAATGTCAATGTGACTAATGTGTATAAAGTGTTGAGGAGCTGCATCTGTGTTTGTACTACCTGTATCTTCAGACGTTTTCAGCTGGACTTATAGTCTGTCTTTGTGTCCACTCCAGTTAAGATCCCCACACGAAGGACCTACATTGACCCAGAGACCTGCGAGGACCTGCTGCAGGCCGTACACGCCTTCGCCAAGGAGCTGGACAACTCCAGCATCAAGATCGAGAGGATCGTCCAACTACCTACAGAAGAAGAAGAAGAAGAAGAAGAAGAGGAGGGACCATGACCTGCTCACTTTTCAGATGTTTCTCGTTTAAGTTCACTGTAACTTAAATCAAATATTTTAGCATCAATTAGCCAATTTTTTAACTAGAAGCAAATTTGTGAAAACATTATTTTTATTTAAAAAATGCTATAGCTAAAGCACAAAAGTAGTTAACAGAGGATAGATAGAAGATAGCTAACAATTAGCCATTGAGTGGCAGAAAGGGCAAATAAGAGATTAGGGGAAAAAATCAGGTTTGTTTTCAATTATGTAACAAAACCAAATATTTTTTAATGAATTTTGTGTTTTCAATTATGTAACAAAACCAAATAATTTAATTTTTTAATGAATTTTGTTTTTTTTCTTTCTCAATTTTAATTGAAAAAAAAAACCTACACTACAGGTTGAGTGTGGAGCTAATTATCAGTCACAGCTCTGCTGCTAAAGCTAATGCTAAAGAATTATTTTTGTTTTCCAGACAAAAGTTTTTATTTGGAGACAAATGTCTGACTTTTTCGTCCTGTGAATATTTTCTCTTTAGTTCTTCTGCTCTTTGATATTCCGTCTTTGTCTCCCTCGTCCGTTTCTTCTCACTTTGTTCTTGATCTTTTTTTTTTACCCCATGTCCTCACCCTGACCTATTTTCCCCCCACTCTCACCGACTGTTCCTGACCAAAAAGGGCTTTTGGGTGGATTTGGAAAAGGACAAAAAAAAAAAGAAGAAACAGAAAGAAAAAAAACCCTGAATAAAGATCGTGACCTCTATATCTTTATCTCCCCCTACAGGCGACTTTGGGGAGGTGTGTCGTGGCTGTCTGAAGCTGCCCAGTAAGAGGGAGCTGCCCGTGGCCATAAAGACATTAAGGGCGGGTTGTTCTGACAAACAGCGACGCTCGTTCCTCAGCGAGGCCGGCATCCTGGGGCAGTTTGACCACTCCAACATCATTCGCCTGGAAGGTGTCATCACCACCGGTAAGAAGGGGAGGGAAAGGGTGAGGAGAGGAGGTGAGGGGAGAGGAGGTGAGGGGAGGTGTAGAGGAATCAGAAAAGTAAGAGAAGAGGAGTTTGGAAAATACGAAGAACAAAGAAAAGGAGACGAGACGGCTACAGGGCTGAAAGTTATGGTCTGCAGGGAGGAGGGTGGTATCACCACTGCTACTGTAGGTGGTGCTGTTGAGGCCAATACTTATAGCCTATAAGGTGTAGAAGATGGATCCATTTTAGAATGAAGAACGTGAAAGTTAAAGGGAATCGCTTCAAGAATCTAAGGTTAAAAACAGTCCAGTTCTCACTAACAGTTGACACAGAGAACAGGAAGTGACATCAGACAGAGGGTGGATTTGATTGGATGGATCTGCAGTCAGGACGCTCCACGCTGAAAGACAAATATTAATGTTATACAGAGGAAACAGGAGAGGGAAAAAAAATGAAGAAGAAAGGAGGAGGAGGAGGAGGAAGGTGATTGGGTTTGGCAGGTAAAACGAGGAGCTTTGAGAGGTTGGTGTGGTTTTTGTGACTGCTGGCATGATGCTCTGTGTGTGTGTGTTTATGAGTGTGAATGACCGTGTGTGTGTGTGTGTGAGAGAGAGAGAGACGGAGAGAATCAGAGAGAGGGCACAGTGCCCGGACACTCTGACTCAGTAGGATGGCAGCAGATGTGCAGGGTACAGTAATTGGTGCTAGAAACCCAGCGGGGCCTGAAGATCCACTTCAATCTCTGCTGCCGTCTCACACACACACACACACACACACACACAAACAAAGCCCATGTCTGCTTCCTACTTCAGAAAAGTGTTCCCACATGTTCAAGTACTTTTGACTACTGTTGACACACACACACACACACCATGTTGTCCTTCAAATCCGACATACAGTAAATGACAAACACACACGTAGTCTTTGTAGTTTCTCTCCCTCTCCCTCTCTGTGTGTCCTGGTAAATGTGAATGTCTCTTATTGACTCATACGTCAGGTGACAGAAACAAATAAACAGCAGGGGTGAGGGCTGTTTAAATGATCATTTGTGAAAACAAATAAACAGCAGGGGTGAGGGCTCCTCACAGTGGGAGGGCTGTTTAAATGATCATTTGTGGGCCGTATAAAACCTGTCCAGGTCGATGGTGGAGACACAATAAGACTAGACTAAGAATAAGAATAGAATAATGAGCAGGTTAAAAAAAAACCAATTCCAAATCAACTTTTCTGTTCATGGTGTTTGTCAGTATCAACAGTCACATCTACAGGCGTCCACAGTTGTAGCGTTGCTAATATACTGTAGGTAAAAAGACGCTCCCCTCTGTGTAGGCTGCGTTTTCACCTCCTCTGAAATCGACTCCCATTTCTGACAGGTTCTAAATGAAAAACAGCCCGTCCCTGTGGGGACCTGCCTGGATTATCATAAGGCATGATGGGAGGCAGACTGTGTCTTGGGTTTTTTTTTTTAATGGTTTATTTCTCTCTCAGTCGATGTGATCGTCCCTGCCTTCAAAGAGAACATTGATCTGTTTTCATTAGCTGTTACTGCAGCCAATCAGGGCTCATGAAAGAAGTGTTTCTGTCCAGGATTGAAACAGCGGAGGAGTGTTAAGTTAAAGGATTAGCTCTTTAGTGTGTATTCAAATGACTTGAAAGCAGCAGTGAGGGACTCTTAGCTGTTTTTTGTGAAGCAGCTGACAGAATTTATTAGTGTCTTAGTTTGGCTTTTTCTTTTCTTTTGCCATAGTTCTGTCAGGATTCAAAGATGCATTTGACATTACCAAAGTAAAGTGTGTGTGTGTTTAAACCTGTGATTCACCCTCCTCATCTCACATTGTTTCATATTCCAAGATGCCGTGTGTGTGTGTGTGTTATGGCCACGTCCTTGTGCTGAGTGACTCATAGCTCTTGAGCATCACTTAAAATCTGTCCAAATAAATGCGTGTCTCCGGGGCATCGAGCATAAAAAATATTTAAAAAAAAAAAGAAACATCAAATATGAATCATACTGAGAACAAAAGCTGTAGAAACTATAAAGTTATCATGGAAGATATGAAGTTATCAGTTCAGCAGTTTAAAAAGCAAGAAGCAAAATAAAAGTCAGGCCACAATTATTTAAAAGTGACGGCTAAAAAGACCAAATGTTCAAAGTGAGTCAGAAACATGTTGTATTTCCTGTTAGAGTTCAGCTACAACTTTAAACTATAAAAGTTAGCATTCTTACAGCAGCTATGCTAACACCATCAGGGTTTCATAACCTGCTGTGCTGTCAGAGGAAACAGACAGAGTTCCCACGATGCCCAGCTCCTCTCACCTCAGTCTCTCCTCCTGTTTCTTCCTCCTCTTCCTCCTAACACCTCCGTCCTCACACACTCTCTCCTGTTGTTCTCCTTCAGGTAACACCATGATGATTATAGTGGAGCACATGACCAACGGAGCCCTGAAAAAAATCCTGAGGGTACGTGTGTGTGTGTGTGTTTCATTCCCTCATATTTAATGTAAACTTCAACCCTAAACAAAGGCATTTCATTGTGATGACAGTGAACCCGCCCCGGTACGGGTCCAGTCCTGGGGCAGTGGTACTTATTAGTGCTGATTGCAGTAAAAAGTGGAATAAAACAGTGTAGTAATTAACATCACAAATGGAGTGTTTCAGCCCAAAGACGCTCGGCTTCTGTAAACTGTAACTCTGAGCCACTGTGCTGGGGGCTTTTATAATGATATAAATTAACGGCCCGTTTGTTTTTATTCCACAAATAAATGGGTTTCGGCCCAGTTAGCTCCACGTGGTATTGTAGAAACAGATTTGTTTGTTGTTGAGGCTTTTTATCTCAATGTTTTATACCAGGGATTTGTTATAATATTTGTGAGAAATGTTAGATTAAGCAGCACAAATTATTATGGGTCTGCAAACCTGTGGCTCACAAAAATGAGCCTTAACCTTTAGCTAGTCAAATCTAGAGAATTTGTCTTAGAAACATGCATTGCATTTCTGTTTAACAAACGTCTGCAGAAACACGAGGGCCAGCTGAGCATCATCCAGCTGATGGACATCCTGACAGGAGTGGCGTCAGGGATGAAGTATCTGACAGAGATGGGCTTCGTCCACAAACGCTTGGCCGCACACAAGGTGAGAGGGCCAGGTGTAACCGTCCGTCTCAGCACAGGTCAACTACAAAACACCGTTCGTTCTTGTCTGGAACATCTCTGAACAGTACTATTTTATTTGAGGACCAGATAAAATGAGGAAGATGACGAGTCGAGAAAATCAAGATTGTTTTGTCACTTCATTTTGTTGTCTCCTCCTGAAAGAGCCCGTCTGTCAGAGTGAAAGGCAGCAATCAGCTGGTGGAGAATAAATGTACTTTAGTCTGGGTAAACAGTCAGTCGTCCTTGGTGCTGTTGGAGCTGCTGCCACTCAGGAAATTCACTTTTTTCTTTTTAAACCTGTGAAGGTTTGGGAAGTTAGTTTCAGGGACAAATAAAGGACAATTTCACAAGTATTGTTGCTATCTTTAAGGGCTAACTTATAGCTGTTTTAGCTAGGTTAAACACTCATCACTCTCTCTTTCTCTCTAGGTGTTGGTTAACTCAAACCTGGGCTGCAAGGTGTCAGGTTTCAGGCCTCTTCAGGATGACAAGATAGAGGCCATTTACACCACACTGGTAAGAGTGTCTGTGTACTACACACTCCCAACAGTTAAATGTGTCTGCTTTTATTTTATTATTTTCCACCTTTATAAATTTGTTTTACTTCCTGTTTTAACCCTATGTGTTTCCTGTTGGGCAGCACGGAGGTAAAAGTGTGGTTCTGTGGACCGCTCCAGAGGCCATCCAGTACCATCGCTTCTCCTCCGCCTCAGATGTGTGGAGCTTCGGCATCGTCATGTGGGAGGTCATGTCCTACGGAGAGAGACCCTACTGGGACATGGGAAACCAGGACGTAAGTGGTAGAAGACACTGGATGATATTTCCACCTAATCCCTCTTCCTATTTCCTACTCTCCTCTGTCCTTTCCCCCCCCCCTCTTCCCTCTGATTCACTTTATCAGTGAACCTCATTCCCTGCCTGGTGTTGGATCTCATTAAATGAGAGCCAAGAAGCCACAGCACCTCTGAAAGCTCTTCTCAGGGCTTAAGTCTCCTCTTTTTAAGTCGGCATCAGCTCCATGACCAATCGTGTTTTCTCCTGGGGACACGTTGACCCGTCTTCTGGTGGCCCGTCCCTAACTCTGACTCTTATATTCTGCTGGAAATCCTTTTACAAAAGGTTTTGTCCTTTTTTAGGAAGTGTACTGCTCTTATTTATCCAGGATTGTTGAGGAAATTGGCCCCAAAAACTTGTACTTAGTACTACCAAGTCCTTCTCGTACACCAGAGTACATGATGCTGCACACAATGTACTTTGTCCTTGGTTATTTACTGCAGTCACTCACTGCCAGTGAAGCCACTAGGGCTTCTCTGATCACTAGTCCAAACCAGTAACAACTGGTCCACTGGTACTAGTATACATTGGAACCAGAATCCCCTCAGGGACAGGTTTTAGACACAAGTTTTTTTAATCTAATGTTCTCTGGGTCTGAAAAGCTTCAACACAGTAATGGCCTCCTAAATTAATGTCACCAGAAATTAATCCTTTGCCTTCATGCAGACAGGCGGCCCATAAAAAAGCAGCCTATTATTAGTACACCCCCTGACCCCACCCCCTTTTAAAATTGTCCATAATTAATATGCATGAGTTTTGCAGCAGGTAAAAAGAGCAGCAGAGTTTTTTTTCTCCTTCTCTTTTATTTCTTTCTTTCTTTTTGAAAGTTTGTCCTCTGTTTCATTCATGTTATCAAGAGTTTTCAATCCGAGGGTCAGAAGTCAGAGGCCTGTGGAGCGTCAGGGACGTTAATCCAATTTGAATTGATACATTATATTATAACGTTATTGTGGCTGCGCCTGCAGACCTGTGATCTGGGCTGCCCTTTACCTTCACACTTTGATTAAATGGAAAATGTCAAATGGTGAAAAGCAGCGTTTTATGAATGCTCTTCAGTGAGACAGGAGCTCAAGTGGACTAAAAGGGAAAGTAAGGTAAGTGGGGGGGGGGGTTAGAGAAGGGAGGGGCTGTTATTCTCCATTATATTTAAAAGATATTTATCTTTGTCTTTATTTATAATATAGTAATAAAATGTCCCTGACTTTTTTTAATTTATGGGCCAAATACAAGAACATTGGACTTCAAGACTAGATTTTAGGAGTGGGCTACATAGATATATGTCAATCACATTTGTCTTCCTATTAACTGTGACTGACTGACTCTACTTTGCTGCCCTCAGGTGATAAAGGCCATTGAGGACGGGTTCAGGCTGCCTGCCCCGGTCAACTGCCCCACACATCTGCACCAGCTGATGCTGGACTGTTGGCAGAAGGAAAGGACAGAGCGGCCCAGCTTCAGCCAGATCCACTCAGCTCTCAGTAAGAGCATTCGCTCCCCTGACGGGATTGGCTCCTCCACACTGGCTCGAAGGTAACGTAGGCCACGCCCAGGTAGAGGAGGGGGGCAGGAGGGGGTGTTGGTGGGCAGGAAGGGTCGAGGGTGGGGGGAGTATACTTTGTATGTGCTTATGCGCAACTTGTTCATGTCAAGTATTTGTAAAGTCAAACGTACTGACCACCCCTCAGTGGCAGATGCTGGTAGAACGCTTGACTGTGGAGCACCACAGTCACGCTGGCGTGGGTTCGAACCCCAGGTCGGTCATTCTGCCTGGACAAGGTTGAAGAGTTCCTTTAGGCAAGTGGACTTAAGGTTTTTCAAGAAAATGTTTCACCTCTCAGCCAAGATGTTCCTCAGAAGCCTCTTGCTAAGAGGTGAAACATCTTCCTGAAGAACCTTAAGTCCACTTACCTAAAGGAACTCTTCAACCTTGTCCAGGCAGAAGGACCAACCTGGGATCCTGCAGCCCAGTGACCCTGCAAAGAAACAAACAGTAGTTAATGAAAAATTCAAATAATAATTATTATGTGACAATGATGTAATCTCTCTAGGACCCTGAACTCCTCCATCTCCATATCTGAGCGACCTCTCCCCTCCTTCCCGTCCTTCAGCTCAGTGGGTGAGTGGCTGGACGCAGTGGACATGGGCCGGTACAAGGACAACTTCACTGCTGCAGGATACTGCTACCTGGAGTCTGTAGCACGGATGACTGTACAGTGAGTACTTCTCTCCAACAGCGCCTCACTGTGGAAATAAACAGCAGTTATATAAGTCACAACTCTGTCTCAGCATGACAAGAATAAAGTGATTAAAAGTCAAATGTCTGTGTCTTTATTCCAACCTGAGTGACAGGTGCAGGGACCAGTTTTAAAATAACCAATCAGCAGAAAAATAACTGGCAGCTTCAATGACAGCTGGTAGATTTGACGGATAATTAAAATAATAAAAAAGATGTCTCTGAAATAAACTTCTATTCCCTTAGAAAAGTATTTTGATGCTGGAGGTCTGTAGGTGTTCTTACAGTAATTAATTAAAGCTTGAGTTAATTAGGCTGAAGTTTTACTTCAACTAATTTAATTAATAAGCAGGAAACGTGTTTTCAGGTTAAAACTCCTAGAGTTGGCAAAAACTTTTATTAATTGTTTTTTGTAAATATTTTAGTTTATTGTTCTTATACAACTTTAAATGTTAAAAATAAAGTCAAAATTCTATGACACTTTTAGCATTTATCATTTGAGCTAAAGTTCATCAATGTTGCTAATTGGATTGCTATCTTTTATCAATGTAAAAAAAACAATTCTGTTTTGATTATTTTATTCATATTTTGTTGCAGTCATTCTAACTGAAGTTTTAAGTTAGCATTATTTAGCATCTTGGGCTATTTTTTTTTATTTATTTCAACAACAATCACACCTTTACTATTTAAATTAGAATTAAAGATTATTTTATCTCTTTTTTTTGCTAATATGTTCTTTTAGTGACAACTCTAAGTTTTTTAATTCAAAGCAATGCCTTAAAATATTAGGAGTTATACTTATACTGTCCACCACAGTTCTGATAATTGCTCACCTGTGTCCACAGAGATGTGATGAGTCTGGGCATCACTTCCTTGGAGCACCAGAAGCTCATCCTGGCTGCCATCCAGACCCTCAGAGCCCAGGTCATCCAAATGCACGGCCGTGGTGTGCAGGTCTAACGCAGATTCTACGACCACGTTTCCCTTGTTGCCGCTGCTGCAGCCGACAAATGACAGGTTGGTGATGTTGAGGGAGACAAAGAAAAGAGAGAAAGATAGAAAAGCTCTTCCAGACTTTCCAGGAAAGACGAGCAGATCTTTCTGAAAACATTTTAAACTTCCTCACGCCTTCCTTGATCCTTACCTTCCTTTCGTTGACGAATGCCTGCAGGAAATGAGCAGCGTTCCTTCCTTTAGTAACTGCACTGGGATGAGAAGGACATCATGTCGTCACGTGACCCTCTTTGTCTCCCGATCTGAAGTACAGATGTACAACACGCTGTAGAGGCACCAGTCGTGACACCTGTGCAGCAGTGATTCCCTGCTGAGAAAACACATGATTTTTGTTACAGTGAGGAACTGGTGAACTGGCCTGGAAACAAAACAGTTCCTCCTCAGAACTGGTTTACCTTCAAACGTCTTTGTGTCTGGAGATGAGAACACAGCTGGGATGTAAGTTGTGGCTCCAGCAGCTTGAAGAAAGACAGTGCTGTCCACATGTTGAGGCTCTGGTGAAGTTTGGAGGAGGTGGAGATGAAACGTTCTCCTCCTGTATACAGTATTAAAGAGATGTAGACGATGATGTGATGTTCTTTCAGGAATATCAGTCTGTTTTAAATATTTTTTGTTTCTTTAACTTAGAGGCTGGTAAAACTAATGCTGCAGGATTTGCTACTGATGTTTAAGTGAAGAGATGAAAATTTCTTCTAATGACTAAAAACTGACTGCAGGAAGCTACAGAACTGTGGCAGGAATGGGTCTGGAATGGATGAGAGTATGGTTCAGACCACACAGGTATTCATTCCAGATGATAATCCAGCCCAGAACAGATGTAGACCAGGTCTAGGAGCATCTGATGTGCTCCAGGTTAAATTTAGACACAGTCATTGAGCACCCCTTCCCTCCCCCCAACCAGGATCTGATTTCCTGACTGCAGTTCTTTGTAAACTATTTCAAAATGGGTCCTGATGAGAATCCATGTTTGTTCCACTCCACTAATAATGAAGCTAATGTTGCCCAGAAGCCTTCTGGACTCCATCCAAGATCACTTCTAGAACCTGTCAGGGAAAATGTTTCCTGGACTAGAATGGAAGACACTATGAAATTCTAAGGACTTGTTCTGATCAGAATGGACCCATTTTGACAACTTTTAAGGTTTAAGTCATTTGTTGTACCTTAGTGTCTTTTTTTACTTCATCGCTTTGATTATTATGAAATTATTTTACTTTGTGCCGTTAAGATTGTTATCTCTGTGTTCTGTCTCCCCCTCCTGTCAAAAATACAAAGTGTTGAACCCTCTTCAGCCTACGTTCTATTTATTATTATTATAATTATTATTCTACATTTATTTATTTTAGTTTACAGACAGGGAAACAGACAAACCTCGTTTTGTTTAAGTCAATAATTTAGCACTTTTTTTTGCTGATGGTGACAGCGGTTTATGTCTTTATGCTGCCTCTCCTTCAGTTCAATTAATGTCCATTATCACTGGATTTTGCAGTATACAGTCGTGTGCATTGATCTCTAGTCATACCGTTATTTCTAGTATTTTTACAACCTAGCCTAAAGAATTAGTTCCTTACTCACTGAAAAGAAAACAAAGTTGGTCTCAGAAGTAACCTGTTGGGAAGTTCCACAATTTAAGCATTAGGTTTCATCATTTAGCATACTAATGATGAAAACATGTAGGAACTCTTAAAAACTTAGACAACAAATATATTTTAATCACAATCACAATTTTAGTTGCTATGATTAAATTAAGATGATCATCAGCAATATTAACCTTTAAAAAAAGTCATCCCACTCCATATGAAATCAAACACTTTTCCAATCATTAGTCAACCAACCACCAGGGGGCGAGCAAAAGCTGCCTAATTAGGAAGTGAGGCCTGCAGTGACTCACTGGGCAGCCTCAAATTGTTCAGTGACTAATGTGAGAGTGACAATTTGGAGGTTGAATCTCGTAATGGACGTTTATTTTTCATTAGCATTTTGTCTTGGGTAAATTTTACGATATCATTTATGATCTATTTTTATTTTAAATTTGTAGCTGGCCACATTTTCTGGGTAAATTCTAAAAATAAAGATTGGTAAAGATCTGTGCACACGACTGTACATCCATTTAAGTTGCACTCAGAAAACTGAATGTGTTTATTTCCTTGCTTTATTTTTTTGTCTTGTTTTTAAGTTGCTGATTTTGTCACATGACTAATTGTTTATTTTCAGTCGTTGTTCCCTTCTGTCGCTTTCCTCTATTTTTGCCTTTTTTGTCTTATTTAAATAAAGAAAATTCAAAGTTAATAGTTTATTGGGGCAATTTCGCACTTCCAAGTTATTCCTTTTAAAATTGAACTGTTTTTTGTACAAAGAGTTTTGTTGCCTCTCTTTAAATGTCAAATTTAGTTAAATGTTGTTACAATCAAGTTAAATTAATTCAAATCACTTACACATCGACACATCTAAGAAAAAAAAAACACCCTTTACACGTAAACATAACACACAAGTCAAACTGGACCTGTTCTCCACAATTAAAAAACTCATTTCTCTGGCTCTCCATCGCCCCCTGTTTGTCTGATACTGTAACGGTTGTATGTGTAATATTGTAAATATTGTATTTGAAAATGCCAGATCTATTTTTATAATTTGTTTGAGGAACAAGGTGTTAAATATATTATCTGCTCACTGTGTAAGGGTTGGACTTGTTTTAAAAAGTTAGCTGAGAAAACACTGGTGTTTTGAAGACTTTTTGGTTTTTTGGTTGTTTTTTCTTTCTCAAGTTTTCAATGATTTTTACTCGTTAGAAGAAAATCTGATGGCTGTTGCAATATTGAAACGTGTTATTAAAAAAGCTCCAATACAAACAGACTCCTTTCTGTGCACACGACTGTACATCCATTTAAGTTGCACTCAGAAAACTGAATGTGTTTATTTCCTTGCTTTATTTTTTTGTCTTGTTTTTAAGTTGCTGATTTTGTCACATGACTAATTGTTTATTTTCAGTCGTTGTTCCCTTCTGTCGCTTTCCTCTATTTTTGCCTTTTTTGTCTTATTTAAATAAAGAAAATTCAAAGTTAATAGTTTATTGGGGCAATTTCGCACTTCCAAGTTATTCCTTTTAAAATTGAACTGTTTTTTGTACAAAGAGTTTTGTTGCCTCTCTTTAAATGTCAAATTTAGTTAAATGTTGTTACAATCAAGTTAAATTAATTCAAATCACTTACACATCGACACATCTAAGAAAAAAAAAACACCCTTTACACGTAAACATAACACACAAGTCAAACTGGACCTGTTCTCCACAATTAAAAAACTCATTTCTCTGGCTCTCCATCGCCCCCTGTTTGTCTGATACTGTAACGGTTGTATGTGTAATATTGTAAATATTGTATTTGAAAATGCCAGATCTATTTTTATAATTTGTTTGAGGAACAAGGTGTTAAATATATTATCTGCTCACTGTGTAAGGGTTGGACTTGTTTTAAAAAGTTAGCTGAGAAAACACTGGTGTTTTGAAGACTTTTTGGTTTTTTGGTTGTTTTTTCTTTCTCAAGTTTTCAATGATTTTTACTCGTTAGAAGAAAATCTGATGGCTGTTGCAATATTGAAACGTGTTATTAAAAAAGCTCCAATACAAACAGACTCCTTTTATGTTGTTGTTTTTGTTTGGATGTACCTGGAACTGTTTCTACAGTCATTTAAACGTTTAAAAAAATGTATTGGTGATGAGAAAAACGGTTTAACCTGTTATGGTTCAAACTATCAGCTCCAACCATAGAGTTTAGTTTGTGAGTTTAAGTTTAATTTTACAGCAATATAAAATATATTGCTCAGAATCCAGTTAATGCCAATTTAAGGCTCAAAGTCAATTTTTTTCCTAAAACCCAGATTAAAGTTTCAGAAATGTAGGTGTTAAAATTAGGCTTGGTTATTTAGGGGTGATTATTATTATTGAAATGTTGTCAGAGGTGAACAGTTTCTAGACACTCCTCACTATAATAGGATTCAGTTATTGGCTGTGAGAAAAGCTGGTTTACCTGTAATGGTTGATCCAAACACCAGCCACCACACAGTCAAACCTGGAAAAGATTAAAAAAAGACAAATGTCAGATTTGACTGTTTTGTGTGGAAATTTAAGAAATGAAAGGGAAAGAAAACTAAGACTTCAAAGATATTTCTCAGATAAAAGTAGATTGTGGTTTAAAGATACAAAATGATTATCGAAAAAATGTTTTATTTTCTTTTTTTAAACAAAGACGTCAAACGTCTGATGGACAAACTCTGTACACCTCATTTTCAATTAGTCAAATTTTCTGATCAAAACTACTTTTCATTTTAATACAAAAGTTACATTTACCGGATTACTGCCATTATTAATTCCTTAAACCACAATAAATAGAGTAAGAAATCTATCTTTTTAAAGCCCAAAGTAAAATGTCCTATTTTTAGGTAAAAGCCTAATAACAACAGTTGAGATTTGTGCCAAATAAAGGTTTATATCAATAAAGTCCTATATAAAGATCACTGACAAACTAACAAAGTTGACAAAACCATTTTGTAAAAACAGACAACAACAAACAGATTTATTTCTGAGGTTTCTGTAAGTCTTTTCAGAAAAAATATCAATAAGGGTTAGAGATATAAGGATATTTATTAATATGTTGTTTTCTCAGATTCTTTTGTCAATTCTGGACACTTCACACTAACACTTCTTCTTTTTCTTTCGGCTTTGTCCCTTTTTTTTTTT